TGAACAATGACAAAGGACGCTTTTGTCACAGCTCGTGTGAACAGCTTGTGAATTGGCTCAAGCCAATTCACAAGATGGACTTGCAAAGACTTGTGATGGACTCAAATACAATACTGGATACAGCATTTCTCTTTTGTATAGAAACAGAAAAAAGTTCTAGGTTACAAAACAATTTGGATAAGTCAGTTCAGGGCAAGTTGCCATATAGGAGAATCAGCTTTGCATGGTACCTTGTCATTCACCTCTGTGGCCCTGGTTTCGTTCAGGGCTTGGTTCATCTGTGGATTGGTTTCTTAGTCGCTACTTTATTCTGTGGGTTTTACTTACATTATCCTTGTGTGCTTTTTCCCTCCCATTGCTAAAATTGTAATTACTTCTGATTGATGTTTTACTAGAGCCATGTGGAGCAGGTGAGTACCGTGTTCGTAGTGACATCATAGGAGACAACAGGTGTGAGCCGTGCCCTCTGAACTGGTACAACCCAGGGGATGGTTTGGATTACTGTGTGGCATGCCCAGACGGGTTGGTGACCAACAAGACAGGCGCCACCCATGAGACAGATTGCTATGGTAAGTACTTTGCTCTCAAAATAAGTCAGGTTGTTGGAAAATTGCCGTATTGTTGCCCAAGATGTTCTTTGGTGTTCCACACATTTGTTGCAGTGAGTTTTGTAATTCTATGCAGACTCAAGAACTACAAAAGATGTCCACAGAAATCACATTTACACTGTGTGGGATTTGTTCACAAACTGGTCTATGTACCCTGAAACCTGGTGTTGAAATGAGCTAAAACAAAAAGAGAGGTGTGCACATGTTGACTTGTCCTTAAAGAGTCTGGTTCCTGTGCAGGTCTACACAGTGAAACATATCTTGTAGGCAGTGTTTCGTAGTCCACTTTTTGTTTTTGGGTTTATGCGTCACAGAGCCACCAATCCCAACAATTGACACCAGTGCTGTACCGGCGATGACCACAGTCCAGTCCACGCTGTCCCACAAGCCTTTGGATCCTTACACCTTCCCAGTGGTGGTAGTCAGTGTCACCACTGTCCTGGCAATCCTTCTGGTCTCAACTGTTGCCATTGTCTGCTTTATCAAACTGAAGTAGGTTGATGTTATTGGAATAAACGTTGCCCCCCTCAAAAAAACCTGGAGTTTGTGCACGATCTATGCCACCAGTTCGCAATCAGTTCATTTCAAGCTGATGCATTATATCTACATTTTTTCCCATTGAAGTGCATGCCCAATGAAATTTCCCCTAACTTTTGCTCCCGATGGTCCACACAAGTTTACAGAACATTGGGAAGTAAGGTCACAAGATGGATTTCTTAAACGAAAATATGCAGATGATTTGTAACCACTTTTGTCAATTTATAGCCTTTCTTCTCTCAATTTTTCCCTTAGATCAAAAGCCAAGGTTGGGCCAAACCCTTCCCAGGGTGATGAAGAACTGCCAACCAATGCATTCGAAATGAAGCCCACAGTTAAACCTGAAGACCCATTTGGATACGACATCTCAGGTAAGCCGATTCGCATCACTGAGAAAAAGGACTTGGCTTTGATATCTGTAATTCACTGCATGACTCTCACTCAGTGAAATGCTATCTTTGGATGTTCTGTTATGGTAACTTTCACAATATGAAAACACTTTTTAACAAAGTCCACATTGGGTCAGAATGACCTGTTTGCCTCGAACTGAAGCACCCCCTCATCGGTTGAATGAGCCACGTTGGTCAGGAGTGTTCATTTTATTGGTGGCGATGGGACTGCAATGCTTGCGTTTCCTAATCGTTCATGAACCAGTGGTATGAGCCGCAGTTGCTAAGGAAATAGCACCCTCTCTTGGTGCAGCTTGAGGCCTATACAGCAGCAACTGAAACCAGAAAGGAGGAAAAAACCTGACACAATCAATTGAAGAACTAAGACTCAAAGACTCCTGGTTTTAATTGTTATATTGTGGCATAGAAGGCTGTCACTGCATGTACATGTATATGTGACTACCATCGAGTGCTACTGATATTTGAAAACAAGTGTGGCATTCACTGTCTTCATTTCTATCATATCTTTAACCTCTGATCTTATTAATGACAAGTTTTTATCAGAGTAAGAAAATAATGGCTGTGATCCATGATAATTGCATTTCATAATTCTTTTTTCTTTTCAACTGAAACAAGTGTTTTTTTCCTGTTTTCTTGTTTCCTTTTTGTGTCTTGAACTTTACAGACAACATGCAGGTCAAGCATCGAGTGGTTGGCGACGTTGTGCCAAGTTCAGACCCTCCTCCCTATGAGACATCTGCTTGAGATGTCTTCTTCTTAACACCGCTTAATGAAGCTTATGGAGGGCAAAACAGTGTCATCAGGAGAGAATGGATAATTTGATCTCCTAGCAGAAATATTTTGTTTCCAAGGTCGTAAATATGTGGTTAATGTAGTTGTTCAAAGCCTGCATCCAAAGTTGTGGACTTTGACTGATAGTAAAGTGCTACTCATATTGTTGAACCAGTATCAGAATTCAGTGGATTTTGTCACTTTAAGGTGTTAAGAACTTACTCTCTGAAGTTGTTTGACTGCAGCTAACTCCATCCACAAAGAAAGATAATTGATGAGTTGAGTGGTAAGCACATCATGCAGATAATGCATATTCAGGGTGGCTTCTTGCTCCTGTCCAGCCTTGATCAGTTTTTTGCTGAAGATTAATTAATAGACCAAATGTTAAAAAAGAGACAAATTTACAAAGATGAGGTTATTTTGTTTTTTTAACTGTGCTCTGCAGAAAGGTTTTACAGTAGTGTTTAAAGTGTGAAGAATGCTTAGCATTAAAGTTGCACATGCTTACCAGCTTGAAATAAATGTTTCCATCGTCAGATCAAGTTTACACCAAAATAAATGCTGCCTCTGAAGTTAAAGATCTTGCACATCTTGACTGAGGAGACAGTCATAGAGGGTCACTTCAGAAGAAAGGCAGAGTATAACAGTCATGAGCATTCTGTTAATTTATAGTGTAGGGACAATGTAAAGAAGCTAAAAGGCATCTACAAAATAAGGCTGCCATTATCAGTAAAGCATAGATTTTGAACCATGCCCTCTGTGCATCAAATAATAACTCCGAGCTCCTGCTTTTTAGCTTTCCCAAAGCTTGTTATTGCTGTACTCCCCTCTGCAAGAAATCCTGGCAACACCCACCAATAGCCTTTTTATGAGGTTTCCTATTTTAGATGTTTATGGTGACATGGTGTGTGATCCACTTTTTTAACTGAGAAAATACCAGTAACAAACTTTGCAGTAGTGTTGCTAAACCATATCTTTTGTAGGCACACTATTTTATCACCAATAAAAATATATTGTTCTCATCAAGAAGCATTGTCAGGAAAGACATTATTTTCTTCAGATAATTTTCTTTTTTTTTAGAGTAGCGGGGGAGGGTCCACAATCAACCACCCCAGGAACCGCGTCTCCCCCGCCCATGTCGGACGCCTCTTAGCTGAATGAGAACCGCTGGGGTGTGCTACCTCAACTTGTGACCCCCGGTCGGCGCGATAGAAAAGCAACGTGATGTCGCCTTCTTTTCGGTAGTTTGTTCTCGGCAGCATATGTCCGCCGATCTCAAATAGTTGGGCACACCCATGCTCTGACATCAGATGGAGTAGAGATGCTGGGAGGCCGCTTCGGACGTTGAAAGCCATTTGCTTGGCCACTTAAAAGCCAGTTAATGTCATGAAGTAATTCATTTTCAAAAGTTTGGATATTTGTCCAAAGTTCATGTAGTATGTACATGTATTTTCAAGTTCGATTTGAAATCTCTTGAAAATGAACTCTGACTAAATTTTTGTACCTCGTAAAAACATTTAAAAAAATAGATAATGTTTCTAAACATAGACCTCGTAAAACAATTTAAAAATTCACCTCGCAAAAAATTAAATCAACCTTTGACTAAATATACCTCATTTTTTAATATGCATGTATACTTTATGGCACTTGCGGGCTGACTCGGAGTTTTGCGACGGCTTTGTAAAGGCGTCGGGCCGATCCATTAAGCCACAGCTGCAACTTAAAAAGTGGGGAACACATGCCCCTATAGCCAAAAAATGTGCCCCCCCCCCGGCGCATGGGGGGGCCATTTCCTGTGAAACGATAAGGAAGGGATTGGGAACAAGTCTAAATACACAGCATTCCACGTGATTTATAATCAAGAGTGCATTTTGCGTTGGTCAGCTGGTCATCCAAGCCGCTGTACATGTACATGTTGATCCTACAACGTGTTAAACATGGCCGGGTGACTGCCGTGTCATCGTCTTCTTTATTGCTTCGTAATGTGACTGTACAGAAATGGGTATCAATAAAAGAAAAACATCTTCGCCAACTAAGCAAAGACATGTTGATCATGGGGAAACCGCGTGTGGCCACAAAATGAAGAGAAGTTATGTTGACTCAAGCAAAGGGTTGCTGTTGGGTATGACTTTCATGTTCACGGTCGTTTCACTCACTTACGTCTTCCGTCCCTTTCCACTGGAGTCGAGGCAGAATAGCCGCAACATTCTGTGCATTTTCACCGGACGATGGAGATACCTGCGAATCAATTTCGCGTACATCTATCGCAGTCTTCGGAGAAATGGCGGGGTTCTCGACAAGGTCTACTACTTCATGATGCAATATGACAACGAAACCATCAGCAAACTAACCGAGTTGACTAAGATTAGTAACAGACACCTAGGAGAAGAGGTATTTGAGTTCAGGTTTCGTAATTATGGAAGGGATACCACTGTTCGCCCAAAGGATGTATTTACCAATTTCTTTTACGAAATTTTCGATGAGATGGTGAGGAATCCTGATACAAAGTACTTCAAGATGGACGACGATATTGTGTACATCCACCCAGGTGCTTTCAGGCAGCTAATTGAGCAACATAACACCTCCGAATGCTTCATTCATTTTGCCAACATTGGAGGCGCTAACTGGCGAAGCAGTTATATCCATCAAGAGATGGGTATCTATGACAATGAGATAATCAACCCTAAGAAACTCAAATTTGAGTTCAGCCAACAGGGCACCCCTGAATGTGGATTATCATCTAAAGCATGTGCCGAGGTAGCATTGAGGGGATTCCTGTATCACTATGAGAACAAATCACTAGAGAGATTTCTTTTTGACGGACGGTATCTGACCACAGAGAGGGCTCGTTACAGTATCAATTTTTTTCTATTCGATGTCAATCTCATCAAGTTTAAAGCCATGCTGGAAAGTGGACCAATGAAAGACAATGATGACGAAGGTTGGTTGACAGAGATTTATTCCCACAAAGTCACGAACCCCAACTGTATTGTTGGTAGAGCCTTCGTCGTTCACTTCTCATATGCTGACACGCGGGAAGAGATTCTTAAACAAGACTTTCTGCAGAAGTTCGAGGCCATTGCTTTCAAGGATCTTGTCAAAGATCTACCAGAAGAGTTTCAAGCCATCCTTGCTTTCAGCAAACCGATTGGAGTTTAGTTTTGTTCACACACAATCCTTTGCATTTCTGTACATGTACATAGGGGTTTCCAAGTGGCATTATGACTTCTATCTTAGGCTTTGCCGTATGTTCCACACTTGGTTTAAAACGTTGGCAATTGGAACCAAATAGTCATTTTTCAAAGCCTGCTGCCCTATCAGATTACTGGATGTTTCAGTTTTAGAAAATTGAGTTGCATTGAGCCAAAGGCTCTCATCAGTTGGTGAGAATAAAAAAGAAAATAAATTAAAAAGAATGAAGCCAAGGAATATATTTAAAGATGGCGGCGGAGCCAAATTATTTAAATCCACCCATAAAAAAGAGTTGACCAGCATTTTCCAACAATTCCAAGAACTTAAGTTGAAAGTTCAGTGTGCATGACGAAACGCTTAATCATAATAAGTGGAAAAAAAACAAGTTTTCTCTGGTTTAACATTGCTGGTCCTAACTTAATAAAAAAACAAAGTACCTAGAACTGTAATTATTTTTTCTGTCATAAGAAACATAACTGTGTTTTTGTTTGGCTGTATCCAGATACACTGCAATATAGTGTTACAGATGGGACATTTCTTCCTTTAAAATTCACCTGCTATTTTTTATTTTAACTCTTTCTTTAGACATTTGTGGTATTTTAAGGCTAACCTGTTCTGCAGCAGACCCTATGTATTGTGTTTTGTACCCAGTATTCTTTTGTTAAGATGTTGCCCAGTGGGCTGACCGGTTATGTAATGGCCCTTTTATTATTTTCTGGGTGCACATGTATTTAAGAAGTGGGTTGTACCATGCTTGGGTGGACTCATCACATCACAGCCAACCGTTCAGCCAGGGGCTCTGTTCTGTTTTCAACTGATGGGTGTTGCCAACCTTCATCACTCCAGCCAATGTCCAATTGGCCCTCCAGCTGTACTCTTCTCCTTCAAGTTGACGGCCGAAACCAACCGGTTTTGTGGCTCTTCCTAGATGGCCTAGGACCAGACCGGTTCTGAGACTCTTCCTAGATGGCCTGGGAACAGACCAGTTCTGAGGCTCTTCCTAGATGGCCTAGGACCAGACCGGTTCTGAGGCTCTTTCTAGATGGCCTGGGACCAGACCGGTTCTGAGGTTCTTCCTAGATGGCCTGGGACCAGACCGGTTCCGTGAGGCTCTTCCTAGATGGCATAGGACCAGACCGGTTCTGAGGCTCTTCCTAGATGGCCTAGGACCAGACCGGTTCCGAGGCTCACCCCAGATGACCTAGATCAGACCAACCGGGTGCACCAGCCAGTGCTTCAGCCAGCTGTGCCTGAGTTGTCCCTCCGCCACAGAATACCACTAGCCAACTTGACAGCATGCACCCAATCAAGTCCTCAACAACAACCTATAAGTAATTATTTAATTTTATAAACAAATAGTAACCTAGATTTAATTTCTTTATTATTTTTGGTATGTAAACTGAAAAAATTTCTGTAAATATGGTCGCTAGTTTCCTTTTCTCTGCTGTCCTGTTCATCTCTGTCGTGCCCTACTTCATTTTGGTTCTTTTGAATTAGTCGCCCGTAACAACAGATGAAGCTTACCATTGTGTTGTCGGAGTAATCAATGCTTATAATGTTCATAGAATTCCTTAGAAAGATCATTCACTTGTTGAGTACCTGTATACACCTGAGATAATTTCGATAAAAAGTCCATGTAAAGTGCAGAAGAAATCGAAAACTGAAATATTTGGGAAAAAATTAAATTTGCATCAAAACCTCTCCACTATACGCAATCTCAAATGTCTAGTGTGTGATGGAAATTCGTAGACAAGTCAGAGGCTTGTGAATCAAAGCTGCATCTGAATCACTTGATGTGGCTTAAAATTATTATACAACTCTACAGAAACTGGCTGCGGCCACTACCATAGACTTGTGCATAATTTTGGGCCACAGCCAAGTAATTTGGACACAGCGTAAGAGTCAAGAGGCATATGGATTTATTGTGCGACAAGCTTCCAGTACCATGGCTTCATGTATTGCTATGCGCACAGGTGCAACTGGTAAAGATTAAGATGTGCAGTTTTGTGCACTCATTTTGTTATGTATCTTCAGATACCTCTTGCCAATTTGAAAGAAAAAAGGCTCAGAAATATGGGGCATTATTCATGTATTTTTGTTCAAATTAAAAATCACTGAAAATGACATGTACATGTAGAATGGACCAATGCAGTTACACAAAGATTTGCATATTCATTTGAACCTTTTTCCATATTCTTCAGAGTGACACTGGAGGCAAATAAAAATGTTTGAGACATCCTAGTCAAAATTTTCATCCGACATATTCAAGAAGACACTCCCCGTGGTTATCAAACTTGAAAAAAGTGCTCAGGGTATGCAAAAGAGATCTTCAAGAATAGCATGCGAGCAAGAAGCAGTCATTGTTTTCAAACAGATTTTTAATTTTTCAACACTCCAGCAAGATATGCATATAATGCAGGAATTACCCTCATTTGCAGTTTTATATCAGATGTTTTCATTAACAGCTAAATTTATATAGCCAGTTTTCAACAAGCTTTTACTGATGAGTGGAAGTTAGTCCCACCTCACTGTGACTTCAATGACACCAACAATTATTACAATTTTGAAAGTCAAAAAAGACCAGATTCTTCTGACTACAGCAAGAACTACATACAAACTCTGTTCCAGCATTGGAATTGATTTCATAGGATTCAGCAGGTTCCTGGTATTGCTTATGTTGGATTTAAATGGAATATAAGTTGACTGTACACTTGCTTGATTCTCCAGGATTTAATTGGGTGACTGTGTTTAACCCTAACCTTCCCCAACCACACAGAATTAAACAGTAGTAAATGGTCGAATTCTGCGGGGGATAGGTCAGGTAGGCCTAAACAGCTGGCTTTTGCATTGGGTTTGGCTTACCTCAGAAAAACAAAGTCCAACAGCCTCTGTGCACAAAGTCCCATATGGCATGTATGGGTGTTTAACTTTGTGTGAATGGGGAAGGTTAGGTCCCGCAACCCTTGGGTGGTTAGGGTTAATGGATCTCTTTCCCTTTCCAATGAATGTGAACAACCTTGCACAATACAACCTGTACCGGCCATAAATTTGTTACTTTACATAAAATAAAGGGTTTTAATGATGTGGGGAAAGATATTAATAGGAGTCATTTACCAGAGCACAAAACCAGTTTAAACCAGTAAACATCGTTTGTGCCCAAGTTATACATCTGGTATAGGATGAATAGTTAATTTGTGTTGCTTGCTCTCAGGTCATTGAATAATATTAGAAGTGATTGAGTTTAGTTTAAAATATGTAGGCACTGGATGCAATTTGACGCCATCTAAATATTCATTTAGAATCAAAATCAAAAGGTATGAATATTTAGACTCTTTTATTGTGGATATATTTAATGATGGAGATTTTCCGTATGAACTTCTGCACTTTGAAAGTGTGGAATAAATGGATACAGGATTGCCAACTGTGGTGACTGGTTTTTCTGAAAAACAAAACTACTTGAATGTTGTACTGATTATTTGTAGTAGCATCATTATAGTAGTGTCAATGGACATACAGCACAATATAGTCCCCCAAAGAGCACAGAAGTCTGCTCATTGTCTCAATGTGTCATTAGCCAGTGTTGTATTTGAGTACATCACAAGTCCCTTCACAAGGCCAGTTGTAAGTCACAATGACAAAAGAATGCTTCTGTCATAGCTCATTTGAATAGCTTGTGAATTGGCGTCAGACTTCAGAGACTTGTGATGGACTTGAATACAACACTGTCCTTAGCCTTGTCCAAGGCGCTCGCTGCATTTTCTTGTGAAAGATAGATGTAATTGGACTTAGCGTACCCAGACCACAGTAAATGAGGCATTGTGTACACTGCCATGGTATTCCATACCCTCCCACTACAGCAAACAAAGCAAAATAATTTTTTTTATCAAATCTATTCCCGGACCCAAGGGACTACCACTTGTTTCAAAGCACATTTTTACTCCAGAAAATTTACCTAATAATTCCAATGTCAGGTTTTGCTCGCTTTTGATGGCTAACAGATTGTGCTAATTACATGTACTATAAATGGGACTTATTTTATTTTATCTTTGAGGTACATGTGTAAAGGATTTTACATGGAATTATAGTACAGTGTTGGAATTTGGTAGATTGAAACAAGTCAAAAATACCAAGGAAGTTAGGATAACAGTAGATATCTACATGTATACAGAATTGTATGCAGCTGTTATGCATCATGTATTTAGCAAAAACATGTATCACAAGATTTCAATTCACAAAGTACACTTAATGCATCTGCGTTTCACTGAATTTTATGTTACAGTCATCCTTTTTCTAGCCGTTTGCTCAGGCATTCATACTTTTAACGTTCTCTGATTCAAATTTGATTCCATTTCTATTCAAGTTTTCTCTACAAATGAAGCTAATTTACTCATGCCAACCACTTTACGTACATACGGTACTTTGCAACCACCTGAACGATGCTCCTTTTTAATAATTTCCTTTGCTTTGAAGTCGGGTAAAAACACTATCTTGGTCAAAGCAGGATATCGTACTACCTGGAATGTCCAAGTTCCTTCTGGACACGAGAAGTTTTACAAACCAGGGCTTCCCAACAAGCTGTTCCTTGTCTTAGGGGTAGCTCATCTATTTTGGATAAAACTAACATCTTGCCAGTCGATGTAACTGCATGAAACTTCCACAATGTGGACAATATTTTTCAACTCAAGGCAAAATTTAACAATCCACTTTTCAAATGTTGATTCAAACCCAATAAATTTCATCATATGGGAAAACAAATATTCCCACCAAAGATATAAGCTTTTCTCAGTGGAAAGATACTAGAACTTACTCCAAGTTTGGAAAACTGAGAGCAACAAATTTGGTAGGAACCGTTAACTGAAAGTAGATGAACTTTGCTGTGCTTTTACATATCTGATTAGATTATATGTTCAGGCATTAAGTCTCTGTGGAACATACAAGTACATTGCATTTAGCTCAAAAATTCAACCTCTGCATATAATCCATGACGTAATGTTGCATTGATTATGCAGCAGTACATGTATGGTAATATTGTTCAATGTATTTTGACAAATTCCTCTAATCGTTTTGGAATAATGCCAATATATTTCAACCCATGCTTCATAACTGCCCTTGCTGCAAGACACTGCAACGTTGTGTAGTTTATTGGTGAGATGTCACACAAGGCATCTCCTAATAGATCAAGTGGCGCTTTGCCACTGTCATTGCGACAATCCAGGTGTGCCCCATGGTCTAGAAGCATCCTCAAGATGTCACTGCGATCGTGCTTCACCAGACCGTCCGAGGAACCTTTTGCAGCAATGTGCAGGGGCCTGTTCCCCTCAGTGTTGGACCTGTTCACGTCAGCTCCACACGCTAGCAGCAGTCGCAGAACTCGGTAGTCTGGGAATCTGCAAACGGGATAGCGTCCAACTGATGAGGTGGACTCCTCGACTGCGAGGTGCAAGGGTGTGGCTCCTTTGCTCCCAGTTGGTTTAAGTTTGAGGAAACGGTAAGTGGCTTGTCTAACTTCATCTTCCTCCTCTACGGTGCCATCCAACTTGGCTATCAGGCACATAAGATGCATCAAGATCAAGAGCGCTCGATGGAAATTTGCAGCATCCTTGTCTGATGGGGGGCCGATTGGAGCCTCCTCTATTCCACGTTTAATCTCAGAGATCCCCTTCAGGTAGACGACTGAGACAGTGCTGTATTTGAGATCACTACAGACTCGTTCTCCATTCCGCTCGGACAGCATGTAGGCAAACAATTCGGCAAAGGACAGCAGGCTGCTCTGAGTCATGGGATTCAGAGGTTCTAGTGCTTGTTGCTGCATATCCAGTGCGTACATCCATAATGTAATGCACCGATCAAAGTTACCAGAGTCAGCGTACACCGCTCCTCTATATCGTATATAGTAAGTTGTGTCTGGGTGGGTTGGGCCCAAGATTCTCTCGCGGATCAGCAATGCTTGCATGCGCATTTCATCCGGATCTCCAATCATATTCTCCAAGTCTCTTGTCGAATCTACCTCGATGGAACATTCGTATGCTGGGATTGCCTTGGTGGGTACTTTCTTGATTATGTTGGCTGGGTCACTGCTTCGTTCATCTAACGCACGCTGCCAGTATCTTAGCGCTTGATGCATGTCTCGTTTCTTGTCGACAGCAGTTGCACCCAGTAACTCCAGTGACTCAACTTTCTCTATCTTTGGGACATCGGACACTGTCACTAGATAGTCTACAATGTTACTGTGGCCAGCCACTGCTGCCGCTTTGATTGGCGTCATCCCGTAAGCATCTATGTCCATCACCGCATTGTGTTTCAAAAGAAGTTTCATGATGGCAAGACTTCCTGACTCCGCACAATCATGTAATGCCGTGTTGCCACGGATGCTTTTCCGATTGACATCGGCATGAAGCGAGAGCAAGTATTCTGCAATGTCGTAGTGGCCTTTGTAACAAGATATCATCAGGCACGTGTGGCCATGGCGGTTTGCGAGTTCAATGTCAGCTCCATGCTGAACGAGATGTCTGACAATGTCAAAATGGCCGTCAAAACAAGCGGCGCGCAGTGGTGTTGAGTTTGAGAATGTTGTTTGATTCACCCTGGCGCCATGCCGCATCAGACTCTGGACAGTGGCAAAGTGGCCCGCTGCCGCAGCACACCACAATGCTGGGGCGCCCTCTATAGTTTCCCCATCAAACGTTACTGAACCCACTTGTTCAACATCTGCCTTGCATTCCTCAAGAAAATAATTCACAACATTCAGGTGGCCATGTCGACTTGCAGCAATCAGCGGTGTCGTTTTTTCTACAACTTGAGAAACTAGCCATTTCACTTCCTCTTTGGTGCGCGACCGGAGACATTCCTGAATTCTGTGCAGGTCGCCCTCTTGAGCCGCTTTGAAGATAGGCGTCTTGAAACTCTGATAAAAATTGGGGTCGGTTCCGCTGATCAGATTTTCATCATCACTCATTTTCATTAACTGTATTGAATTCCAAACCTCCAGTCATAACAGATGAATAGCTGGCTATCTCATTATTTTTTTCAGCAGACAAAAAGCAGAATGTTCCGGGTTAAAGGGTTCCCCTGTACAGCGTAGTTCATTTACGTATTTCCATCGTACATCACGAGATGAGTTGGTGAAAAGCTGTCACATATATCGACCTAGGCCCTAACTGGTGCTTTGCAGTACACTGCCGTACAGCTTCTGCACGAAGTTTACCGAGCACCAGCTAAAATTTCAACCTCGCTCTCAATTATCAGGGAATAATCGAACTCCGGGGACATTTAAAGGGAGTGAACCTTAGCCAGTGTAAAACCTTACAAGAGGTAGACAGGGTCTACATATGTTACGAATCTTTCATCTTATAGGTAATAAGAAAAAATTGAAATTTCATGTATAAAAATTATATTCTGACAACTTAGTTAAAAGCTTTGGGAAAATACTTTTAGTAGGGAACCACATGATGATATTTGTCAAAAGAGGGCGCTCTGTAAAATTGTCTGGTATCCAGTATACTAAGTGCCAACTGATTAAATGGCAATGTCAAGCCTTCAGACTAATATAGTGTGCATTGGTTGTGCGAGGAAGAATACTGGCGGTTTGTTTGGCGGAAAAAGCAAACCATTGGAAAAAATATTTCTGACAAGTAGCCTACGTATGAAAACAAAGGCTAGCTGCAGCTTGGATTAGGAATTTATCATTAATATGGTTAGTTTGATAAATAGAAAACAGTGGTCGGCTTTTTTGCTGGCAGCTTTGCCTAATTTAGTAATTACCTGATTACTGATTTACGTTAGCATGGTTAGGCGTTTTTTTCCTGCTTGTGGTTTGTTTTTGAAATTGAAGAGATCTTGGAGTTGGAGAGGATGTTAACATTTCGATATAGGCATAGGCCTAATAAGTTTGGATTCCAGTGGACTCTGCAAATCAAAGAAAAATTAATTCGAAGTAATTGTTTTGGGATGTTTTTGTACGTAGGCCCATTTAGACCTGTAAACCATGTAAACAGGGCCTGACGAATACTCCTCCCTTGCATTACTGGGCCCTGTCCCGATTCACAGGGATATCTTTTGAAAAATATATATCCGGGGGAATAACTAAACATCCGCATGATTTTATGAGCTGAAATTGCACCGGTATGTTCACTACTTTAAGTACTTACGGTGTAAACTTTCTGCTAGGTTGTTAATTGTATTTGAAGAAAACTCGCCTTTTCCTCGTTTGGACGAAAAATTGTTACAAAGCAAAAACATGTCCAGAAAAAAAGTCCTTTACTTACATGTAGAAAACACTTCAAATATGGTTTGTGCACAGGGTGACAAGTGGCATCCGTGTATGGAACTCTTTCCTGGATATTCAGTATCTACACTGTAAGAGTGTGCAAAAAAAATTTCATCACAATTTCCATTTTAAGAAAATGGTCATCGCTCATTTTGGCATGACCCTAAACAGTGGTTAGTGGGAAGTTTAACCTACATGAGTGACCTAGCTGAGCCTATCTTGGTCATGTTTGTCATGACCCACGGTGATGTTAATGCTAGAATTGTGTCAACCATGTCAGTGTAGCTTGTGTAGAGATAACAGATCAAATACAAAATTTGAAAAAAACAGGAGATCAGAAAAGAAAAATGTAAAACTCTGTAATAACATATTTGTGCTAACATAAAATGAAAGAAAAAGCAAGGGAAATTGGAAGTGGAGAGGGATAAGGTACTGGTTTATTGATTTTGTGGCCTTAAAATGGTCCTATGACGAAGATGATAATCATGGAGAGATTGGAAACAAGACTTATGGTCCTTATAGTCTGGTTCCCATTGCTCCATGAACAGTCTGAAAATGAAGTTGTACATGCAGGCCAGTGTGGACATCTAGGAGATTTTCATCATTTGCCATGTATGTGTCAAGTTCCTTGACCCACTGTGTACAAAATCTACCACAAAAGATTTTTGTGGTTGATAAATAGATGATTCTGTTGGCTTACATAACCCCTACCGTGACCAGCATTTAAAAATGTAGTTCAGTATTCCATCAACACAAATAAGACTGGTTGCAAAATATAATCCGTATTCACTATTCTGAAATCTTGTGTTGTGGCTAGTTAAGGAGGTTGCAGTTGTATTCCGTATAAAGTTGAGGTGATTGTTCAGTAGTAGGCTTCCTAAAATATGGACACTTTCCAGCAAGCACTTGAATTCGGATTCAATCCATGTGTCGATCGTCCAGTTTTTAAATGGTTTTTCTCTTAAACCTTCCTTTTTGTTTACTTTCCACGGACTTTTTTCTTTTTGTTTTTTGTAGTAATACCACTGGAGGATTTTTGAAGGGAAATAAAGGCCCTTTTCCAATACTCAACTTGGGCTCCGTCTCAGGCTTCGTTCCCAAAACCAATCCCCGATTGTGGGCCTGAAGCGTTTAGATCAAATTGGATTACTGTAATTTCTGGCTCTCTTGCATCTTATTTGATGTTTTGTGGCACTGTTAGACTAATTACTGCGCTTACAGCTTTAACGTCAGCTAGTTAAAAACAGTTGAAGCCTGAGACGGAGCCAAAGTTGAGTATTGGAAAACGGCCAAAGTCTGAGATCTGTTTATGACAGGCAGGTCTAGTTCCTATTTCTAATGCTCCATGGTGCAATAGTAGTAGACAGCAACCTGTCTAAAGTGCAGTGACTATATAGCCCAATTTTTTTCAATTTATTCCAGTCATGATACCATGGCAACAAAGTCGCCTCAAGGCACTTCTGTCATGACTGGAGAGATGTCAGCCAGGGAGTCTGATGTCCGAAGGAAATCATCTCCATTCCTGGACGATTCGGAGGCCGCTGAGGAACTGCGTCAGTTAAGGCTGAAAATTGCCAGACTTCAAGATGAAAATCAGTCAGAGATTGGTGAGTTTGCCTCTATTTAAACTAATACAGTATTCCAACTGGGCATGCTCAAATTGAAGCATCATGTCATTGGTCATTGGCATGCAGGATAATGAGTAAGTAACAGTGGCCATGTCAGTGTGGCTGTTACTGCCACAACTAATAGTACGAAACTCTGCAAAGTTCAAAGACTTACACACTCTGAACATGTTTGAGTTTGCATGGCATCGGATACTTCAATCATGAATTATTGTGAGTCTTGTGGATTGAATCCTGGTCTAGATGCAGCATCTAGATTGATTGGCCCTCTGCCCACTGAGACATGTTACTTTCACCCTTGGCTGTTCTATTGTTTTATCATTTGGAATATGTTGATTTGCTGCACATTTTAATTTTTACAAAGTAAAGGCTAGAAAGAAATTTTGATCTTAACATCAGGGGGCAGTTTTTATCATGACTGTAGTGTATTTTGAAGAGACTAAAACTGGAGTAGTTTGATTGAACATACTTTGCACTTAAAGAAAAAGCAACCGTGGAAGTTGGGTTTGAAGTTGGTTGCTTCAGTCACATTTTACTCTGTGTGTTATTTGGGTTTTTTTACAAATGGCAAGGGTAATATATGTGTGTTTGTAGAGATGGAGTAAAAACCTGCTTTTCTGATTTGCTTTGCAGATATGAATAATGAGCTGAGGAAGCGAGTGACTCAACTTGAGAATGAGAAACTCAAACTCACTGCAAGTTCGAATGAGGAGGTAGGTTATTTCTTGGATGATGCAGTATAAATATTGAACCTAAGTTCGTAATATCTTAATGGCTTAAACAAAGGGTGAAAAGGAAATTAAGAAATCTCTTAAAAGTTCTTTGATTTTGCTGTCAGTGATTTCTATCTAGGCATTCCAAATCGGCCCTGGAGTTTATGAAAAATGCCAGAAATCCTTTGACATCTGTAAGCTCTGAGATTTTTTTCATTGGCTTTTCATTCCAACCAAAATTCTGGAAGCCTACACTATCGTAAGTAAGTCTAAATATAATAACGGGAAGGAGGTCTCAAGCTCACATGTAAAATCTTGTTCACTAAGTTTGTTGAATGAGTAAGAGCATGAGTTTTTAACAAAGCTTGACATGCATGAAGTTACAGTATCTAGTAATGGACAAAAAGGACTCGGACTCAAATCTAAAGACAGGTATTTTACAATTAGAATAGACATTTGCAGATGAAACACTTTTGATAGCCGTCTCTTTTGCCCAAATTCTCAAGAACCCATTTGAACCCAAATACTCCGCCCATACTGGTGGAAGTGAACTTATTTAATGCTACAATACCATAACTGATAGAGCTCATTCAACAGATTTGGAAAAGGACTCAATTTTTTTCTTTCCTTTGCCACTTTACAGGTCAACCAACTGGAGGCGCAAGTAGCCAGGCTCCGTGCCCAATTTGAGAGGGGTGAAGCGGCTCGACAGCAGTTAGAGTATGAGATAGCGGTCGCTAAGAGAGGGATCTCACAAGAGAAGAGCCTTGCAGGTGAACGAGAAGACAGCCTAAATGCCATCCTTGAAACTCACAAAGGTAATAGCATGGATTTTCTTTTCTTGACTATTATGCTGACTAATATCACTCAGGTCATTTTCTAGTCCAGCATGGCCTGACAGGGCTCAACTGTTATAAACCCAGCCTAAAGCACTGTATTGCTTTAAGGCAATTTTATACACTGGCTCATGCATGGTATAAGATGCAATGGTGAATGTGTGATGTTATGGTAACAAACTTGGCACTGTGAATTTGCAAAGATTTGAATCCATTTCAGTTGTGTCAGATTTCGCCGCAAATGCATTGAACTTCTGGCTTTTTTGCAATTTTGCGAAAAAGGCATTCTTTTTGTTCTTTTTTTTTTTTTGGCTTCTTCTTCTTCTGCTCAAAAGCCCATTTGTTTTGTACACGTTTTTTGTCGCCGCCACTTCATAGCGCTTTTGCAACTTTGGATCTTCATCAGACTTATACCAACAAAGTACCCTTATGCATGGATGGTCCTAGAAACATTACGTCATGATGACATCATCAAGTGATTTATTATTGATTTTTCAATATTTATTTCAGCCCATAGACTGTGTACACGCTTTCAACGCACCATTTTGGTATCTGAGTAACCGTTGATCGTTGGCAAAGTTACAGCAAGCACTGACTATAGAACAAAGATAATAGTAAAATATTTATGTCATGATGACGTCATCACATGATTTTTTATTAAATTTGAATATTTAAATATTCCGTTAAATTTATAAAAATCCATATAAAATCAACCATGGCCTCCCGCAACATTCTGTTTGCAGCAAGTGGCAGGATAAACTGTGGTCTTGAATTCATCTCGTGTGGGTCAAATCACGTGACCCTTCCTTCCGGTCAAAACCGGAAGTGGTCATATTGTTTAAAAGTGGTCATAGGTATCAAGTTGTTTTCAATGGTGTTAGTCTGTTGGGGTATAGTATTCTTCAAATCATCTGCTGATGACGTCACCTAATTGTCGAGCGCCCTCTAGCGACAGGTTAAAAATTACAAAAAATGCATTTTGAATAGATGTCTGTGGCGAAGTATTCCGAATCGCCTGAAAATTGATGTAGATGATCATCTTTACCCAGTCAACACGTGTGTGACGTTTGGGGCTAATAATATTATCAGACTGGAAGTTACAATAAAAACTTCTTGTATTCTTCAGAATTCGGTTAAAAATCAACCGTACGAGATATAAGCGTGAATTGTGCATAAAAAGACAGATAAAACATTGGAGTCAGCTGCATGAAGTGCATAACTGGTGTACTTTTTCACATACTTGAAGCGCCGTCGACAAAAACGCCCTTAAAATATAAATTGCCAACTCGGAAATCCCAATCGCATACCCCTACTGTGCATTGGCTACTGTGTGGGTGGACGCCCAATATCTGCCTGCAACATAGACGGTGCACAGTGCGTAGTGCATAAACTCAGGACTTGGCAAAATGCCGAGCACGTGCTGCCAAGACCAGATCGCAATGTATGGAACGCCAAAAGGGATAAATGTTTAAAATGTCTAATTTGTGTCTTTTCCGCGATAATTCTAATGTTTTGTAATGTTTACTGTATTGTACATGTCTTACTGGTTTGAAACCTTGCAGGTTGTTAGGAATGGAAGGTTTACAAATGGAAATTGACCTCATGTGGTGACAATGCCATCAGCAGACGAATCTCGTGACATTAAATGTGCATCATTTATAGTACTATATCTCCTGAAGTGTATATCCAAATGGGTTCAAATCTTGGAGATATCTTGAAAAGGGAGTGCTTTAGTGGAATTTCGACTTCATGTGATAATGATGTCATCAGCAGACAAGTCACCTGACATCAAGGGTGCACTCTTTTAAGCCCTACATCTCCCAAAGTACATGTCCAAACAGGTTCAAATCGTGCAGATATCTTGAAAAGGGAGTGTTTTAGAGGTATATTGACCTTATGTGATGATGACATCCTCAGGAGACAAGTCACGTGACATTAAAGGTGCACACTTTAAAGCCCTGTATCTCCTGAAGTACATGTCCGATCAGGTTGAAACTTTGCAGATAACTTGAAAGAGAGGTGTTAACCTCTTGTTACATTTGTGTTTGCTTGTTTAGTAATAATACTGTAACTAATTTGAATAAATCCCTCGCACATTCAACTGAATGTGAAAAAAAATGGGTACAATAATGAAAAAAAAATGGAGGCAATACAGCCGTTTCACAGCAGTGCGCCACCAAGAGTTTGCAACGCATTGGCCAATCACAATACGCGGAAGTTGTCGACCCAATGCGCGTTTAGAAAGGGTTGACAAATTTTGAATGTTGTGATTGGCCAACATGTAGCAAGCTCTTGGAGGCACCCTATTGTGAATCTCCCGTATTCACAATATGGTACACTCCTCAAACTTATCCCCAAGAGGTCTATATTGTAGTTGTGGCTCATAGGCCAACACCAGTAACTATTAGGCTTGCTTGCTATAGCATCTTGAAGATGGCAGACTTCTGGTGATGAGATCAGTGATTTTGAATGACATGTTACTACATACGGAGAAAAGAAAAGGATAGTTACAAGGTTGGATTATGAAAGTACGGTGATTAGAGACAGTGCAACAGTATCTCCCATTGTCAACATTTTCCCACAATGCGGTGTACACTGCCATTGATGTGACTCTTTAATGACAGTTTAGTGTCAGTTGTAACTGCTCTTACTGAATTTGTCCTTTTTAGAGAAGATCAGTGAATTGACATCCAAGGTTCAAGATCTTCAGTCGAGTCTTGTAAGTCAACGACGCTTTGCTGATGAAACAGATGTCAAGCTGCGTACTTCACTGGAAGAGAAGGAGCGTGAATTGCAGGCAGCGAGGGCTGAGCAAGACGTCATCCGGAGTGAGAAAGAACAACTGGAACAGGTCTTCCATGAGCAAGAGAAGTAAGGAAATAGCTAAGGAAGCATGGAACATTCTTGTCCCATCTCAAACATTCCCACCTAAATAAACTTGTACTGTCAATTGATTTGAAACTCGAAAAGGGTGCTCATGATAAAAAACACTTAAAAATATTCTCATGTGGAAACACCAAGTTTTCCCAAGCTGTTCTGTCATTTTAACATGCAGAGTCCTATTATGTGTAATCATGGAATTGCTAATTCACTAAAAACCCTGCTTCTGCGAGCTCATCACCAAAACTGATTTGGATAATTTTACACTATTTTTCCCTTCAAAGCATCTATGCAGAAACACAAGAGAAGGTCAATGACCTAAAGACAGAGAGAGACACCCAGACAAACACCGTGAGGCAGCAACTGAGAGAGTTACAGTATGCTGCCGAGAGGGAAGACAGACTCAAGAAAGAAGTGGAGGTAGGAGACAATCTGAGACTGTTTGGAAGACTGTCCGACTATTGGCAATCTGAGATTATCTGTGGAAATTTGAGACAATCTACGCTGATCTGGGACAAACTTTATGTCTCTGTAACAATGCAACCTTAACTTAATAAATTGACAGGATCATATTTATTGATGTATGCATATATGTAGCCTGGAGTCAGGTTAGGACATCCTCTTTCAATTCTCAGATCTGATTACCAATCTGACTAAAGCTCAAACATTTATAGAGTTGTGTAATTTGTTTTTCTTCCGACAGTGCAGTGAGTCCACTTTCAGCACCCACTTTTTACAGAATGTTCAGAATTATGCTGCTCACTACTTAAAAGTTGAAACCATAGTTCCATTCTTATTTTCGTTTTCTTGTTTTTTTTATTTCTCATCTGTAGGTGACGATTGGCAGAATTAAGACTCTTGAGGAAACTATCGAGGCTGAAAGAGCAGCTCATTTGGAGTCTAAGTTCAACTCAGAGCTGGTCCAGGTGAAATCTTGTAGTCGTGTGATTTGGTTCTGTCATTGTGATGTTGATCATGTCACACTTGTGCATGGTTTGCTGAGGGTGCTCTTTAGCAAATTGCTGGTGAAGAATGTAGTAAGCTTGTTGCAATTTGATAGTGCATGTGGGGATATGATACCAGTGCTTTATTGATTATAAACAAGCTGTTGTCGGTTGCTGCTTTTGAAAAGCTTACAAATCTCTGACATTTCTAGATATGAAGTCTGTGAATAGATCCCCTGTTTTGTCCTATACGTAGTGCCGTGCTGTCTTCAATTTACCGTCATCTCAAAGACTAGTGAGGTGATAATTCCTGTGGGTATGCTCCATCCAGATGCCCAACAGTAGAGTATAAAAAACATTGACAGCAATAAATGTCTAGGGTAAAAACTCCATTACAAATGGGGCATTGTGTGCAAACTCATGGAGTTGCTCTTCTCGTTTTTTTTTCCCATCACAGGCCATGACATATACATTCTCAGAACACAGTCAGGCTTAGGTTGTCTATGTCAACTGGCTATGGCTGGGGTTAACACATCCATCTATGGAAAGTGAGCTTCAGCCCCTTACAAGTGGCTTTCATAGGCTCATAAGCGATTACAACCCTCAGCCTTAACTTTTTGAATGTAGTCTTTGTTCATCACAAGGGCATATTTTTTCCACAGTGGAAATCTCAAGGGTTTCTGTTGGCAGTCAGTTAACTCTTGGTGTTTTTCTTTTGCCATGTTTTTTGGAAGCTTCAAGTCCGAGATCTGAAGGGAGCATTAGACGTGGAGAAATCGGCTCATGCAGAGGTTGAACATAATGCTGAAATTATGACAAAACAGCTCAGGTAAACATAACCCTGACAAAGCCATACTTAAACCTGAGGTCACAGGGCTGTAGGTGACTGTAGCGATAAGATATCTGTAGACCCATCAGTCTCGAGCTATGACATTGCAAACATGTTTTAGACTCTGGTAGTCATGACAAAAGTGATGGCAGCAATTTAGACTCTTGTTGTCATGACAAAAGAGATGACAGCAATTTAGACTCTTGTGGTCATGACAAAAGTGATGGCAGCAATTTAGACTCTGGTGGTCTTGACAAAAGAGATGACAGCAATTTA